TTGTATGTACTGTAGTTGAATGTTCTGTGGGTTCAGTAACACACACATAAATCAGATAATTTTTAGTATGCGACACATTATGCACACTAAGACATGCAGAATACGGATAGAGCATTTTCCCTGTTTTTATATTAATTGTATGTCAGTATTCTCTAAGAGTTAAATAAGAAAAGTTCCTTCTTTATCAAAGAATTCCAGGCTAGAAAATTCAGTGAGAAAATTAATGAGTTACTATTTTTGAAACCTTGTATCTCCCCATACTCCATCCACCCACCCACATCCAACATTGCCCTTACGACAATGCTCCCAAACTAAGTGTGATGACAGGTATTTTCTTGTGTTGTAAACTTACATTTTATAGAGGAGCAGTACTTATAAAATGCAACACAGTGTTGTAGCATTGCTGTAAAAATCTCTGCACTTTGAGTTTTTCACTTGTGGATTGTTACCATCAAGGGATGGTACCAAGACAGCTTGAGTAACACTGGCTTAAGCAGTAATTAGTGAATGCCAAAACCAATAAGGAAAATATTCATAAGAAACTTTAAAATGAACTACTACAAAGACAATAATGTGCAATGTATCAATTATAACTGTCCTACTAACCTGTTTTGAAACTCTCATTGCTACTTCTTTCTCAATAAAATTAATATTAAAAAGAAACTTTATTTATTTATTTATTTTGAGGAATTAGGGATTGAACTCAGGTGCTTGCGCTTGCCAGGCAAGCACTTATTCTACTGAGCTATCTCCCCGGCCCAAAAAAAAGAAACTTTAAAATGGATAGGTTTGACTGAAAATATCCAAACCTACTTACCAATCTTTGATATAGTAAAGGGGACAGACATTGTATGCCCTGTGCTGTGATACAATAAATTCACACACACCTGCATAGTATTGTCCCCCACCCAATTGTTAACTTGCCTCTAAGTTTCTACAGCTGACTACCAATTTGACAGGAATATTGGAGCTAGAGAAATGAGTTCAATGTCAGTACTACAGAAAGACATCAGTTAAATTCTAGAATGAGGGGAATGTTGAAGGACAAATAAAAATTCAACTTCAGCAAATAAATGTCATAAGATGAGAAGGGAGGATGGCATACTGCTAATAAGATGAGATAGACATTGGAACCAAATGTGGGACTTGATTGGATTTTAGGAAATCATATATACATTATATTATTGTATATGATTATATAGGATTATATATCATTTATATATTATATATGATTATATATAGGATTATATAAGATTCTTGTTAGAAATATAAACATTTCAGGTTTGGAGTTACGGTGTTTGGAATTTTTTTTTTTAAATGCTGTTCCCCCCTCCCCCCAAAAAAAAGTGGGTTTGTGTTTCTGGGTGGGGCAAGAGAGAGAGAAGAAAGATGGACTGAAATAAGTAAAATATCAATAATAATTGAAACTTGGTAACTAGCATCAATAAAGTTAGTTGTTTCATGCTATTGGCAAATAATGTCACATTTAGGTAAGGCAGTGAAAGAAGATTTTATTTAAGAACTACTGACAGTAGGAGAAAGCTGAACTCCAATCTCATTTATGTAAAGTTAAATGGATTTTTTAAAAGAATTATGAAAGAGTACAAAATGGAAGCAATATGGAGCCCAAATGAAAGATACAAAGTATATACCCTTTTTGGGAACTATGTCTATTAGCTGGCTATTGACATAATGGGAAGAGTCAGAATTTCCTCTTTCTACAGAGATAGAGACCCTCTCCTTCCTGTAAATTACATTTCAAAGGTTTGGGTTTCCCAACTTTAACAAAGACACACTGAGTTGTAAGAAATACACAGGAATCTGTGAAAGAGGGAACAAATACCATTGTATACTCTTGTAATTAAATGCTCTAGAAATGGAAAGTTGGGTCAACCATGTGTCTGCCCCTTGTCAGTGTTGGCTTAAACAAGTCAATACTGACTTGAGCTTTCTCAGGCAAGCATTTCAAGAAGAGGGTAGGGCATGTTAGGGACATAGCTTTGTGCTTGCTAAAATCATGCTAAGAATTCGGTTATCTTTTAATGCGAAGGATTGAACAGTCATTCTTCGTTCTGACAGGGGCGTTTTTTAAATTGTGAATGGTTAAGATCAGTAATTGAGTCCAGACACATATGTATATATATATATATATATGTCTAGATAGATACATACATACATATATGAATATTCAGTGTTCATCAAAGTAGTAACATAACAGAAACTGAAATAAACATTTCTAACATTGAGATTGATACTTATAATACACCTATTAGACTGTCTGAAATCAAAGTACATTAAGACCTACTTGACTAATAAAGCTCTGTAAGAGTAGGCATGCTCATATATTACTGAAGGAGCTTATTCATTGGGGATAGTTTGAAAATATTAATAAAATTACTAATGTGCTTATCTCATCACACTTATACAGTGTATTTTGTAGAAATATGTTTACATGTATGAAATTGCTATATACAAAGTTATTTGTCAGATAATAAGTTAAATAAACTTTGGGAAATTATTCAACACATTATTGTGTAGGTGAAAAAAAGTGAATGAAAAAGTTCCATGTCAGAGCCTACCAGGTAGCTCAGCAGACTAAAGCACCTGCTTAGGCAGAGTGCAGTGGCTGAGGTTCTATCCCTGGTGTGCCTTGTTGGCCCCACCCCCAGGGCGCGCTGAGATGCTACTGAGACTGGGCATGGTGGTGCACGCCTGTAAACCCAGTGCTAGGGAGACTGAAAACAGGAGAATCACTGTAAGTCCGATCTAGGTAGTAAGACCCTGTAGACCCTGTCCTAAATATATTTAAAAAATAATACATTAGGAAAAGTTCCATGCCTGCACATCCAATATAGTAGCTACTAGCCACATGTGATTATTTAATTTTTATACTCACCACATTTAAAGTATTTTGTAGCTACATGTGACTTTTGGCTATTGAATAGTGCAAACATAGACCTTTGCCGTCCAAGCATGCCTGGAAAAGTACCTTTCTCAGCTGTTTATTGAATGCAAACTTGAAATGCTTTAGGTGCTCTCAAGTACCTCATTGAAAGTTAGACCTATGCCCTAGAACATGAAGCCCTGGAAGAGGAGTCTAAAACACCTGTGGTAGCAGGTTATGGTGTCGCATGCCTGTAATCCCAGCACTTGGGAGGCTAAGATAGGAGAATTGCTATAAATTTGAGGCCAGCCTGGGCTACAAAGCCAGTTCAAGTCCAATTTGAACTATATAATGAGACCCTGTCTCAAAGAGTAATTAAAAAAAAGAAAAGAAAAACCTTGAAGAAGAAAAAAAAAAAGAAAGTTAGACCTATCATACTTTCCTGGAGTATTCTGAAATTAACTACATATAATCTTTAAATGGTGGTAGAACATATTAAAATGTTTATTTCAAAGTCTGGTTTATTTTACTATTGTCCATGAAAGTAGTATTATCTAATTTTATCACCTTAGTGTTCAATGTTTTTTAAAATATGGAATTGATCTTGATAGATGAGATACTAACACATAATCTGTTTTAACAGAACTCTAGAAACTAAGAAAATTCTCTCTCTGGCTAATAAAGTTGTAGAATGTAGAGGGAAAAAATCACCTATGAATTTATCTTGCCGAAGTCATGATTGTTCTGGTGCCTGTCTGATGAAAATGCCATCTACCATCAAAGCAGAAAACCCTCTGCAACTACCAATCATATGTCACTTCCAAAGACGACACGCAAAGACAAACACTCAATCTTCAGCACTTCATGTGAGTTATAAAGCTCCTTGTGGAAGAAGTCTGCGGAACATGGAGGAAGTCTTTCGTTACCTGCTTGAGACAAACTGTAACTTTTTATTTACAGATAACTTTTCTTTTAATACCTTTGTTCAGTTGACTCGGAATTATCAAAAGCAAGAAGAAATTGTTTCTGATGTAGATATTAGCAATGGAGTGGAATTAGTACCTGTTTCTTTCTGTAATGAAATTAACAGTAGAAGGCTTCCATCCTTTAAGTACAGAAAGACTATGTGGCCACCAGCATATTATCTAAATAATTTTTCCAACATGTTCACTGATTCCTGTGACTGTTCTGAGGGCTGCATAGACATGTGAGTAGAAAATATGACATTTCAAAAACTGAATGATAAGGACAGTTGTCAAGAAGTCCTACTGTGTATTAATTTCTCTCTCTAAATATCTAAAATGAAGAAAAGTACTGTCTCACTTGCAGTAAGAAAACTTTTTGTCAAATGCAGTAATTTGAAATGTATTCTGAAGGGCCGGCAAGATAGCTCAATAGACTAAGTGCTTGCTTAGGCAAACTCAGGGGCCAGGGTTTGATCCCTGGCACTGCATGCCACATCAGGCCTGCCCTGGGAGTACTGAGAGCTGGTGAACACCTATAATCGCAGCACTAGGAAGGCTGAAAGCAGGAGGATCACCAGGAGTCTGAGCTGCATAGTGAGGCCCTGCACACACACACACACACACACACACACACACACACCCCTAAAAAAAAAAAGAGAAACGTATTCTGAGAAAGTGTATTTTTTTTTAATCCAATACCATAGTCATAATGGTGATTGCCATTCTACAGTGCTGCACTGTGTGGTGGCTACTTTGCATACTTCATTTCATCCCAAAATCCCTGCAGGAGGTAGTATAATTTCTGTGTTACAAGTGAGACTTAGAGAAATTAATTCAGATACATCATAGACCAGACAGTGTGAACATTTTATTTTCTTTGAGACAGGATCTTACTATGTTGCCCAGCCTACTGAGCTGGTAGGCTCAAGTAGTTCTCAACCTCATAAGTAACAGGGACTACAGAGTTGTGCCGTACCACACTTGGCTTAAACCATTTTTTTTTTCTCTTGGCAATACTTGGGATTGAACCTAGAACCTTCACACTAAGCTACACTCACAGCCTCCTACTCCTACCTCTTTGTTTCTAATTGAGTCTCCAGCTTCAATCTTTTTTTCAGCCTCCCAAATTGCTGGGGATTATAGGCTTGTGCCACTGCACCCACCAAACTTTTGTTCTTAAGCACTTTTATATATTGAATTCATTTTTATTCAAAAATTATTTCCTGGCTAATTTTTTAGAAAGTTGATGATGTTTATGATTCTTAACATTCCATTAAAAAAATGAAACCATGTTCTAATACATACTCACAGGGTAAGCAGATAAGTTGCGTTAACTCTATCCTGTATTTAAAGCAAAATCAGCTACCTGTACTAAGTAAAAGAAAAGTCATGAAGAAAGTGTTTCTTACTATGGGACATAGTAAAAAGTATTTAAAAGTTCTTTCAAATTGTTCACCCATGTGCTTAGTAATAATGATGATGTTCACTATAGCACTGTTACATTGAGAACTTGTAAGCAGCTCAGCTGTGAATCAAGTAGGCAGTAGCTAAACACTGAGGGCAAGTCAGAAGGAATTAACTGTATTTATACATTTCATTCATGAGTTTCAGAAACATTGAGGGAGGTATCCTATGGTAAGATTAGGAATTTAGTCAATATTTTTATATGTTCAGTGTTCATTAAAGTAGTAACATACAGAAACTGAAATGAACGTTTTCAATGTTGAGATTTATAAATATAATACATCCTTCATCTATTAGACTGTCTGAAATCAAAGTACATCAAGACCTACTTGACTGATGGGGCTGGGGAGATGGCTCAGTAGAATACTGTGTGCCTGGCAAGCACAAGGGCCTGAGTTCAATCCCCAGTTCCACCAAAAAACAACAACAAACAAAAAGAAAAGATTTATTTGACTGATAAAGCACTTGGGAGGTTAGGCTGTAGGATGAGGAGATCGGGGCCAGCCTGGACTGCATACACAGCAAGGCCTTGTCTCAAGAAACCAGTAGGTGAAGGAAAACGTTACATTGAACAGAAAACAAGTTGTATAGTGCTGATACAGGGAAAACAGTAAATTGTTGGAATATATATAAAGTATGAAGGGTGCTACATCTTCAGTTTTATTGGTTATGCTTTTTTGGATATTGGTAATATCAGTAAGTATTGTTTTTTTATATATTTAAGTTTCTTGATACATTTTTATACATAATATCATAGGGAATTTATACCTGTACGTGGTATTTTGATTTCTCTATTTTCCTAATCCTTTCTCCCTTCCCAGCTTCCTTTATTTTCAAATCTCAATATTGAAAATGTTAAAAAAAAAAAATATTGAAAATGTTCATTTCAGTTTCTGTATGTTACTACTTTGATGAACACGGAACATATAAAAATAATATTGACTAAATTCCTAATCTTACCATAGGATACCTCCCTCAATGTTTCTGAAACTCATGAATGAAATGTATAAATACAGTTAATTCCTTCTGACTTCTTCTTTATTTTCAAAGCTTTGTTTCTATTTCAGCCTTTTTTAAAAATCTTTTTTTCTCCTTCCTTTTCCTCTTTTCCTACCCTAGTTTTTCTTTCCTTTTGAACAGTTTCTTCCCATTTCACAATATCTGTTGTACATTTTGGTTCTTATTTACTCTTAATTCCTCATACCAGGGAGACAATACAATGTTTACACATGTGAGTCTGGTTTCTTTCATTTAAGTGAGTATGGTCTCAAGTTGCATCTGTTTTTTTAGAAATGCCTCAAATTTATCCTTTTTTGCCCACTAGTATTCCTCTATATTAAAAAAAAAAAAACAAAAACAAAAACATTATCTTTATGCATTCCTCAGAGGATATATTTGGGTTGTTTCCATGATTTAGCTATTATAAAATGTGCTGCTATAGAATATCACTGTGGTATGTTTTTAATTCTTCCAGGAAGATACCCAGAAGGGGAATAGCTGGGTCAAATAGGACTTCTAATCCTACTTTTTTGAGGAATTTCCATAGTGGTTGCACTAGTCTACACTCCATCCAATAATGGAGAGGTGTTCCTTTTTTTTTTTCCACAGCCCTGCCAGCATTTGTTATTGGTTGATTTCTTGATGATAGCCGTTCTTTCTGGAGTGAGGTGCTTTTAAAAGCAAATATAGTATAGCCAAAAAAATGAACTAGACAAAATGTTGAGTGGTGGAAAAAACAAGAATGTTACACTATTTGTGTTTATTGTACTTTTCAACTATATAATGATATAAAATTATGGATTTTTAATTTTATTAGTGTATGTTTGCAGTACATGTTACATTCATTGTGGGAGCCACTATAGATTTTTACATTTTTAAACACAATTCAAATTAATGTATTTGTTGTTTTTTGCCTTCTGTCATGAATAGCAGCCATCAGTCTGATGTGTGTTATGTATATATAGGAAACACAGAGGAGACTCATGGAAGAAAGGAGTGTAAGGTCATTTATTCAGCCAAGGAAATAAAGCTTCAGAGATTTTTTTTTTTTAACTGATCTAATATTTTTTTTGTTTTTTTTATTTTTTAATAGATTGCAAATTGAAAATGAATTATTTACAAACATAACTGAATATAAC